ACCTGCCTCTGGCGGGGGGCCGGTGACGGGCAGATCAAAGGGCCTGGGCTGTGGCCTGTTATTATGTGGCTGCGTGGGCCCAGATGCGTCTCGCACGCAGGCGGCCCTGGGATCGGCCCGGCTGGGGGCCTCTGCCTGGACTCAGCTTTGTGGTGTCATGGGTGCCCCTGGGCACAGACAGGCAGCAGGGGCCCTACTGGATGTGCAGCCGTGTGGGGCAGGCCCGCATTGGCCGTGGCTTATGACTATCCCTAACCACGAAGGCGACAGATGAGGACCGGGTCACGGCGGGTGGTGGCAGGCCACAAGATGGCAGCTTATCTCCTGGCCTTGGCTGGGGGATGGGGTCCCTGATGGGCCTCTCGGGAGCCTGCAGAGGTGGCCGTTGGTGGGACTCCTTGGCCCTCTGGGGGGTGGGGGCCACACTGTGTAGACACCAGGTTCTGCCCGCCCTCCCGTGGAGCCGAGACCCCAGAGTGAGGCACGGGGCCCATGGGGCCGCCCTCCCCCAGGAGGCTGACGCCGTGCGGGACGCCCTGATGCCCAGCCTGGCCTGCGCCGCAGCCTACGCGGGGGACCTGGAGGCCCTGCAGGTGCTGGTGGAACTGGTGAGCACCCCGGGGCCAGCCCAGCACCCCAGGCTGGGGCACCTTCCTTAAGCCCGCCGAGCCTTTGTCCCCAGGCTGGGCCCACTGCAGCGTGGCGTCCCTCAGGGTGCCATGGCTTACCCCATCCCCTCCCACGGCCTCTCTATGGGCGCTTTCTTTTCACCTCAGGGCAGTGACCTGGGCCTGGAGGACTTCAACGGGCAGACTCCACTGCACGCGGCTGCCCGCAGGGGGCATGCTGGTGTGGTGGCCCTGCTGCTGAGCAGGGGCGTGGACGTGGACACCCGTGACGAGGACGGCTTCAGCCCGCTGCTGCTGGCTGTGAAGGGCAGGTACTCCAGGGCCTGGGCCCTGCGGCCCTACCCAAGGCAGGGTCCAGAGAGGCTGTTGGCTTGTCTGTGGTCATATGACCATCTGGGCAGAGCTGGGCCGGGCTGAGGACAGGAGCCCACCCCGGTCTGGGCCCAGCTGGAAGCACCACTTGTGGTTGGGGAGGGAGGCCTGACTGGGGAGGGTCAGCAGGGCCAGGGGACTGCGTGGAGGAGGTGGTATTCAAGTTGAGCCAGACAGACCTCGGCCTGAGTATCGGACGAGCACCGCGGAGGAGTGCGAGGGCGTGGAGCTCCAGGAGTCTGCGCTCACAGGTTGCAGGGCTGGGCCGGGGGCAGCACCGAGTGGAGCAGCCACAGGCACCCTCCGGGCAGGCATAGCCCAGTGGTCTGGCAGGCCCCTGCTGGCCCCACCGGCAAACCCTGGCTCCTTAAAGGCAGGGCCGTGGCCTGGGGTGTGTTAGGGGCACCCTGCCCTTCAGCCAGGTCAGAGACCAGCCGCCCAGGGCACGCGTGGGGCTCCTACGGTGTGTCCGACTGTGTTTGGTGGTCACTGGGTAGGGCGGCAGTGTGCAGGTCCTTGTTGAAGCGCCAATCTGAAGCTGGTGGTCACCCAGGGAAATGGAGCCTAGAGATGGACAGGCCTTGTCTGAGGCCATAGGACCAAGTGGCACTTCCCTCGCCCACTCCCTGTGCCAAGCCTGGCCTGGAGCAGGTCCTAGTGGGGGTGGGCCTGGCCGGCCTGACACTCAGAGTGTGGAGGGTGGGCAGAGGCAGCAGGTGTGGCAGGGACCCCTTGCACACTCCCGGGGCCTGACGCTCCTGCCTCATCCGGAGCCCACTGTATCAGTGGGGTGGGCGAGGGGTGCACATGTGCCCGCATGGCCTTGCACGTGGGTGGGGTGGGCTGCCCCCGGCCCCCCCTGCTGCTCATGCTGGGAAGGTAGAGGCAGCCCACTCCGGGCCAGCCGGCCCACCCCGGGGTTCTCCTGGAAGCCTTAGCTTGCAGGACCCTGGGTTGTCTTGGGGAGCAGGGTCCTCGGAGCCCATGGAGAGAGGCAAGGACCCAAACCCCGGGCCCTCCCAGACGCCCCCTTTGTGAAGGGCCCTTGGGGCAGGGCCTCCTTCAGGCTCCTGCCAGTGCCGAGGGGGTTCTCGGGGCAGGCCTGCGGTGGGCAGCCTGTGCGGGGTGCAGGGCAAGCTTGGGACCCAGGTGGGGTGATTGGGCCGGAGACTCCATGTCCTTGGTCCTTGGAGTGGGTGGATCGAGATGAGCTCACCCTCTTGCCTCCTCTCCCATTCCTGGAGTCTCAACACCTCCGTCCGGGCTCCTGGCCTCGCTCCCCTACAGCCCGAGTGGCACTGGGGATCCCAGCCCACTGGTCCACCTCCCAAAGCTCCGTAAGAGTGGGGTGAGCCTGTGTGGTGCCCCCACACTGCAGGGAAAGGGCATAGCTGGCCATGGGGAGTCAGGGCCACCGCATGGTGCCGTGTTGTGTGTCCAGGCCTTTGCAGCCTGGGCCTCAGGCTTCCTGGGACCCTGCCCCATCCCCCCCAGCAGCTGGCCCTGCCCTGCCCCCCTAGCAGCTGGCTCCTGCTGGTCATGCTTCCCCACTGTTGCCTGTCCCTGCCCGCTCCCAGGGAGAGACCTGATGGATTCAGTCTCCCCAGAACCAGCTCTGGGCTTGGCCTCGAGGTCCCAGTGGGGGTGTGGGTGGGGCCGCAGCTCAGGGTGGGTGCCTACCCTGCAGGGTGGGCTGTCCTCTCAGGATGGGCCAGGAGCCCTCCCCGGGCTCTGAACGAGGGTGGAGGAAGAGCTCAGCCATGCCGAGCACTGAGGAGGGGTGTCCCAGAACTTGCCCCTGCAGACCCACGATGTCCTGGGGGTGTCCTGGACAAAGGGAGGCTGCAGGGTCCCAGCTGGGAGAACCTGGTCCCTAACCAGGACACGGCGGTGTGCCCCCTCATGGCAGGCACCCAGATGTCATCAGGCTGCGGGGGGGGGCGGGGGCCTGCCTGTCCCCCCAGGAGTTGGAGGACGCAGGGACAGAGCTGTGCAGGTGAGGGCAGCCAGAGCACTGTACTTCCAGGGATCCAAGCACAGGGCCCGAGGGAGGGAAGCCGGATCTGCCGGGAAGGACAGGCCAGGGGTGTGCGGGCCACAGGGGCAGGGCCCCAGTGAGTGAGCCCCAGGAGATGTGGGCGGGGCGGCCCAGGCTGGGCCGAGGGAGCACTGACCGCCTGCCCTCTTGGTGGGAGGGAGGGTGGGCCAAGCCGCGGACCCTGCTCACTGGTCTTGCTTTGAAGGGGCTTCAGGGGTGACTTGGTCCAGAGCTCACCCCAGACCATCAGGGGCTGATGGGGCCTTGGCGTGATTCACTCCAGAGCCTACCCGGCACCTCAGTGCAGACTGCCAATGAAGACCTAGCCCCCGGGCACCCCACTGCAGGCTCTGGGGCGGGGCCTTCCCCTGCAACCCAGCCTGGCCTCCCTTGTGGGCAGTGGGCTCTTCCTAGCAGGGGTGGGGGAGGAGGCAGTGGGGGGACCTGGGTGCTCTATACCCCACCCTCCTCCCCAGACCACTCTCCCAGCCGGGACCCCACCCTGTACCTCTGCATACCGGTCTGTGAACGCAGGGCTGCCGGGTGGCCCCGCCCCAGGGAGGGCCTTGTTGTGAAAGGCGAAACTGGCAGGGGCACTCAGCAGGGGGCGTGTGTGCGCGTGCTCGTGCTCGTGAGCGTGTGTGTGTGTGTGTGTGTGTGTGTGTGCGCGCGCGCGCACCAGCCCTTAGCCTGAGTTACAGTCACACCCACCATGTGAAACCAGACTCCAGGCCGCCCTCTGGCCCCAGTGACTCCCGCCGCAGGGCCGGGTGCTGCTGGGTCAGCCGTTTGGGCCGACTTTGAAAGGCACCAGGCACCAGGGTGGGCAGGCGGGAGGGCAGCAGCTGGGTGCCCCACAGGCTCTGACGGCTTGCCCCCACCCCCAGGCTGGCATCCAGGGCGGACGGCGAAGGCCTGCGGGCATGGTGGCAGGCGGGGGCTGACCTGGGGCAGCCCGGGCTATGATGGCAGCAGTGCCCTGCGCATCGTGAGTGCCCCTCCAGGCCCTCCCCACAGCTGTCCCCACGAGTGCCCACACTCGGGAGGGGCTCGGACGGGGTGGGTGGCAGGACCCTGGGGGAGGCGGCTGCTCTGCTGTGCCGGACCAGCGCCCCCCCTCCTTGTTCTCCCCAGGCAGAAGACACAGGGGACCAGGAAGTGCTGGCCCTTCTGCAGAGCCTCGAGGGGGAGGCCGGCGTCCAAACTCAGGCCCAGTAAGTCCCACCCCAGAAGGGCTGACTTCCTTGACCCGGGTTCCCTCGCTGGGTCCTGGCTTGGGAATATGTCCAGGAGTGGGGCCTGGGGACAGAGGCTGCGATGGGTCATTTGTTCAGGGCCTGCAGTGCCTTCTCTAGGCCTCTGCGTTGCACGTGTTGAGGGTGGAGGAAGGAGACCAGAGCAGTCAAGGAAGGGCTTCCTGTAGGAAAGGCCCACCTGAGACCCTGGCTTTTTGTCCAACAGGCTAACCCCTGAAGACCAGACCTGAGCCTTGGAGGGTCCTGTCATGGCCTCTGATCCTCCACTGTAAACCCCACCCCACCCCACCTCAACCCCTGGGCCAGGGCCTCCTGCCTTCTCCAGACAGGCTGCCAGGCAGGCACCTCATTCCCCACTCCATTATCTGGCCTCCTGTCGAGGCTCAAGGCTGGCTGGGTTTGCTCAGGTCTCAGTGGAAAGGCTGGGCCCCATGGAGGGAGGTAGGGTGCCCAGACTTGTCCCTGCCTCCCTCGCTGCCCAGGCCTCTGCGTGCTCTCAGGAGGGAGACGCACCTTCAGGAGTGCTGCCTGCCGTCCGACCCCTAGCCATTTCTTCCTGCTGGCAGGGTCGGGGCATCTGCCCGCCCCGGCCGAGGCTCTTCCCAGTCCATTTCCGGAACAAGCCCTGAAGGCCTTTGCCGGGCAGGATGAAAATAAACTTGCTCTGGGGGCTGCTGCCCCGGGTCCCCACAGCCTGGCTCTGAGTGGATCTGTCGGGCCCTGGAACGGATATTTGGCCCACGGTCTGGGGTAGGCAGCGGGGTCTTCAGCCCCCAGGACAAGAGGGGCACCTGTGTCCTTCCTGTGGCAGCCAGCAGGGAGCCAGGCCAAGCTGCAGCTGGGAGGTGGCTCCGGGAGGCGATGCTCCCTTGCTAGGTGTCCCAGCCACCAGGCTGTCCCCTCCTCCAGGCAGCCTTCCTGACTCCTTGGTCCTACCCTCTTCATCCTGCAACTGAAAGCCGCTCGCCCACCACTCAGACATGCCCACTGCTCCTGACAGCTCCCAAGGCCCTCTGGCTGTCCGTCCCCACATCCTGCCCTGTCCCCTTCTCAGGGCAGGGGTATCAGGGCTCCCAAGGGGACTGTCAGGCTCACGTCAGAGTGGGCGTTGTATTCATCCCAGCCCCTGGGCTCTTGCACCCCTGACCCACCACGGGCTGTGAGCCAGGTCCCTTGCTGGGGAGGAGGAGGAGGGGTAACCGGGGCCGCCTGGTGGGAGAGGGTGGGTGGCTGGGTAGGGAGCCGCAGCCTCGTCAGAGGTCTGCCCAGTAGCTGGTGTCTGGATCCCCAGTGGGTTGCAGGTTCACACAGACACCCAGTGACGCCAGGCGTCCCTCCTGCACTCACGTCCGGGCCCTCCTTGCTGGGCATGAGCAGCTGCCCCAACTGCCCACAGGAGGGGTCCTGTCCGACCGGATTCCGACTGGGCTCTGGGGGGTTGGGCCCTGCCGGAGGGCCTGCGACCCAGGAGTGTGGGCAGAAGTGGGACCCCGGGAGCTGACGCTCAGCTGCCCACACCCACCTTGCAGCTCTTCCCAGGCCCCGGTGGCTGCTGGCGGCCTCCCATCTCCTCGCCCAGACGGGTGTGCCTGGCCTTGCACAACCAGGTAACGCCACCGGAACACGGCTAGTCCTGGGGAAGCCCAAGGAGTGGAGGTGCAGGGGCAAGGGGTGGGGGCGGGACTGAGGCCCAGGGGGCGGAGCCTGTAGCCATGTGAAGGCAGGAGGGGCATGGCTGCCTCCGCCAGCAAGCCCATGTGGGGCTGTGCCCAGCGGCCCCCTGGAAGTGCCCGCCCTGCCCTCTCCTCCTGGGCCTGGGCAGAGAGCGCGCCCACCACACTCCCCTCTGCCCCCAAGCCGGGGCTGTGAGGCTCAGGCGGCCATGTTACCACAGCAGCTCCGGAGCAGGTGCCGGCCTGCCGGTGCAGGAACGCCCACTCCGCCGAGGCCCACGGGGCACCGACTGGGCTGGCTTTTCCCCAAGTGGGTCATCGAAGGAGACTGCTTGAGGGTGATGGGGCAGCTGGGCGGGGGAAACTCCCCAGAAGGGCTGAGTGGCCAAGCCCCCATTCTCGGGGCTCAGAGTCCTGTATGCGCAGCTCCAGAGCCAGGCGGGTGGCCCAGGAAGCCACAGCAGTCAGAGGCTTAGTCTGGAAATGCCCCTGGGAAGCGTGTGTCCCTCGGGGACAGACCTGGTGGCCAGGAAGGTGACTTAGCTGATGGGCAAAAGAGGGCACGGGGAGGGGGGCACTCCGGCTCCCAGGACACTCCACAGGTCTGGGCTCCGCTGCAGGGGGACAGCCACGCCAGTGACAGGGACGACAGTGGAGTGCTGCACCTTGGCTCCTTGTGTCCCCACTGTGCCCCGCGGAGGGCCTGGGGTCGTCAACCCTCCCATCCTACAGCTGAAGAAGCTGTGCGAGGCATCTGGGCCGCTTCTACCCTGTGACACAGCGAGGGTGGCAAACCCCGGACATGTGGGGGCGGCCTGAGACCCTGGGGTCCCCGGGACTAGGGTGGCCTCAGCTCCCAAAGTCCATATCTTGTTGCTGGGACCCCAGGGTTAGCTCTGGGGAACGCGACCGTGTGTGCTTTCTATCCCAAGACCAGACTCCTCTGGCGAGGGCCCAGGGCAGGTTTCTCTCACCTGCTGGGCCCTCTGGTGCCCCCAGCATTTCCTGCTGTAGGTGGAGCCACTGCCGCTCCCACTCGCCCTGCCGCATCCCTGTCAGCCGCCGCTCCCACTCGCCCTGCCGTATCCCATCAGCTGCCCTGAAGCCACAGCAGCCCATCTTTGCACAGGGCCTGGGTTCACTGGGGCTCAGAATAGGCGAGGCCTGTGCCCGGTTGGGCGAGGGGGTCCTGGTCCTTCTGGTCACCAGCCTCAGTGGGTCCGGCCCTCAACTCCACAGGGACCTGCAGACCTACACACTCAGAGCCGCCAGGTGCAGGACCCCTTCCCCCCAGCCAGTGCCCACTGACATAGCCCAACCTTTGTCATTGGGGCCAGCAGCCTCCTGGCATAAGGGCTTTAAGGCGTCACCTCCTCCCAAACTTGCTGTTCCCTCCCTGTGAGCGCCCCATTTTCCCGGGGTCATGGGCAGCTCTGCTGAGACCCAGTCTCCAGGGGTTCCACTGGTCAGCCCCCAACACCTCCAGGCTAAGTGGGTAGGGCCCCTGGCCGGCCACTGGTTGGGCCAGGGCAAGATGCAGGCTCCTGGGCTGTGCGTGTGTCGGGCGGGTGGGTGCAGGGCCATGTCGGGCTCCTGGGGACGGTGTAAGGGGCAGGCATGGACTCCCAGGTGAGCTGCCCTTTACACCCCACCCCAGAGGCTGGTCTGAGAACCAAAAAAACAGAAACCCGCCCCGCCTGTTCTCTTCCTCCTCCCGCCCTCCGGTTTCACTTTCTCTTTGTCCCGTCCCCCCCCCCAGAGTTCCCTTTGAAGTGAGAGGCATGGGACCCAGAAAGTGTGTGTACACGCGCGTGTGTACCCAGAGCAAACCGTCAGGCTCTGGGCCTCACCTGCCGTGGGCACCAACGGACCACTGTGGACCGCACCGTCAGGGTCCCGGGCAGGCGGGGGCCGTGGTCCCTCCCGGAGGAGACCAGGTGCTCCAGGCCGGGCCGTGGTCCCTCCCGGAGGAGACCAGGTGCTCCAGGCCGGCCGCTGGAGGCGGGGGCGCCGGGCGGGGCC